TTTTTATTTTTTTTTATGAAAACAAGGCCAAATCCTTCATAATCTTTACCATCAACAGGCTGCAGCCACGTCCCGAATTTCTTGTTTTCCAGCCACTTATGTTAAAATTTGCATTTTCCCATTCTCTATCTTTTTCTGTGCCTTGGGCTTCTGTTCCCAACATTTGGCTTTAGGATCAATCATTAGCGGTTCCATGCAAACACGTGGAACCAGTTAAATCTGATATATTTGACAATTATTTTTTTTTCTGTTTTTAATAAAGCATTTTAAATGCTATGATAATCACATTTAATGATTTTTTATGCAAATTAAGGCCTTAATTTAAAAAATAATAATTTAATGACTTTTAATGATTTTTTAATGACCCGCAGAAACCCTGTAAAGCACATTTTAAATAGTTGCAGATTACCATTAATGCTTAAACAGAAAATAAGAGACAGCAGTCGATAAAAAGGTGGCCCAAAAGTGCAGATGCTCCATGTGGAGCTTCAGTCACTCTAAAATTCAAGACTAATTAATAAATGAAGGATTTTTATATATTTATAATTGATCAGGGTATTACTTTGTAAGGATTAAACTGAGTTATAAGCAAGAACTGGACATAAGGATTTAAACACTTCAGTGAAAGATTTTAGTCAATCATATTCTCAGCTTAGTGGCAAAAGTGGTTTTATACTCATGTAAAATGGTTGGAGATAATAAAAAGCATAAACACTAAAAACTAACATTCTTTATAAAAATAAATAAATAAATAAACCTCTTTATCAGAGAGGCATAGAAATACTTCAAAAATAAGGAGTTTGAAATGGAGATAAAAATAATAATTCTAACTGATGAGATATACTTAATTTGTAGGTTAAAAATATTCAGCAGTGCAAACACTTTGTATTTTGGGAAGTTTTCGCAGTTTTTCATGCAGCAAGTAGGACAATTTATACATTAACCTTTATGATTGTAGTCCAGATTGTGGATTTTGAATAAAAGGAATCTACAAAATTACAGTCAGGATTCAATAGGGGTAAAAACAAACTAAAAAAAAAAAAAAAAAAACTGGTTTAAAATTAAAGGTTTTTCTCATCACTTGTTTCCATAAAGAAACAGAAGACAATTACATCTGAGCATTTATTTATGTTTGAAAGCCACATTAACTATATAACTTAGTCTGACTCTTGAGATAAATATTAACTATTAAAAACTCTAATCCATCAATATATCAGCAATAGATTGATAACTGCAGCTGCTTCTTTGCTCGCTTTTCAGCATCTGCAAGATGTAAAAGATGGCTAATTCAAGCTGCAGCTCAGGAAGAGATAAATGACTCAGATTAAAATCTTAGTTGTGTGTCTAAGTGTAAATGACTATGCTTCTCAGCGTATAGCGGATATGTTTATTTGATTTCATAGGCAAAAGTAAATTAGTATACGACTTTGCCAAACTCACAGTCATTGAAGACTCTGTAGCTCTGCGGTCTAAAGACTTTGCTCTTCTCAAATTCAGGAAATTGGAGCTGGACACATCTGGGGCCAAGCAGTCCTTTCCTGTGTCCAGTGACATCTCCTATAATCATAAAAAAAATTTGAAATTATAACACTATTTAAATCTATTTGCTTAAAGAGGAGAACATCATACATGTTTGCCATCCAGATAGCGTCTCTCGCTTCGGCCTTGTCTGTGATTGGCTGTTGTGTTGACCGAGGAGTCATGGCTACTACTTGTATCCATACGCTCCACGTGTTGATTATCCTCAAAGCGGCCAATGATTTGAGATCTCCTACGAAACAAAAATTGTACAAACTCCTAAATTTGCTGTCTTACTTTTCACAAACACGTGCAAATAGAGTTTTACGAAAACAGAGAATGCAAAAAATATAAAATTCAGGGAAAACAATAAATATGACTACAGGCTGTAAGTACTTTACAAAGCGTATAAAGTGCAATGAAGTAGTAACTCTAAAAGGATGCATCTGTAACTAAATGAATAAGTGATGCTAAATGATGAGGAAAAAAATAATGACAATTTGGAGAATGGCTACTTATACATATCGAAGAGGCAGCAGCAATGGAAACATTCAACATTACCTGAAGGCACTGCACTTTAAAAGTATACATCTGTGAAATGGGTAATCGAATCTGGAGAGATTAAAGTAAAATTACAGGCAACTGTTTGTGTGTTTCATTTATTGTCATGTACAAAGGAAATGAGGTGAAACGGTGCATGTGTGTGCTCCCAGGGGCTGCAGAGATGAAATGAGAGAAAGCAGGGATCAGCGGTGACCAGCAGGGAACAGCTTTGGTAACAGGGGTGGAGGGGTTGGTTGGGCATTAGCTCTGAGAAGCTCTGATCAGAAGCCCCTGGAAAAGATTGAAACAACAGAAACTAGCAAGAGAGCAAAAGCAAAAAGGTAGAAAGCACCAGAAAATGAAGTAACCAAAGAATTTATCTCCCACAGAATTATCAAAGTTAAACCACTGGTAAGCTACGATAGGAAGCTGCAGCAAAAAGCGGTAAGAGAAGCCACAGGGTGGTGCTAAATAACTAAAATGCTGAATGTTTTAAGGGTGGCATAAACAAAACATACTTTCCTATTATAACATATGAACATCTTACCAATATTCCAGTGTCTGATTAATAACCTTTAACATTATAACTCTTTAACAAATTAATCTTCCTGTTTCTGCAGCTAAGTGAAACAACTTAGACTTTTTATCTCACCTGCGCTCCTCCCCAAACAGTCGCACCACCTCCTCCCTTCCGGGACTCCGAGTCCGTGCCCTCAGCTCCTGGCGCTGTTTCTCCGAGCGGAAAGCTTCTTTGTAGCTCAGTATACGAGCTCGAGGAACATCAGACAGCGCCGTGTACTCTTTGCCCGACCGGCCAACTCTGCTTCCAACAGTGCTGATGCTACGAGTGCTCCCTCCACCTCCACTACTACTACGCCCCTCCCAGGTGGGTGAAGTCACGCTGCTGGGTTCAGAGTCCAGCGAGCTCTGGGAGGAGCTGATGGTGGAGGAGCTCGGGGAAATAAGGGCTTTTGGAGAGGGGAGATGAGGGGAAATTTGGGATTCAGATTCAGAGTTGTACCTGGAAGCGGGAGCTCCTAAAGAGGATGATGATGCTGAGGAGGACAGGGGCAGATGCTGGGGGGGCTGTGCAGACTGAGGAGAAGGTTCTGACTTGGTCTTCTCCAGTGAGAAGTAACCACTCTCCACGCGGACTTTCCGGTCTGTGCTGACGGTGCCGCCATCTGAAATACAACCATGGCCTCATTGAGTCAAAAATGTCTGCTTAGCTCAATAAATACATTTCAATGTTTATTTGAATTTATTTAGTTATATTTTATATAAAAAAAAAATGTAATGTTAGAACAGTAAATATAAAGTCATATGTTTATATTACTGTTTTTATGTTTTTTTAAATGTTTTCTAGGCTGCACTTGAAAAAAAATGAAATTGTCTAGAGAGCTGTTCTTAAAGAAATTTATTTTTGTTTATTCTTGTGTATACAAAATGACAAAATAAATCTGTCCAAGTCTAGTCTAAGTTATTAATATTCCTTCATTTCACAACCAATGACAATTTTATTCCTATTGGGATTTCATGTTACAGATTAACACACTGCAATGAACAATTAAAGGGAAAGTTTTAATTCAGGGTTGATACAGGAATGAATAACTCCAATTTAATGCTTTTTAATGCTCTTAGAAATAATTTTAATGCCACCAACAGGTACCTGTCAACAGGCTGTAGCCATGTCCCGGATTGCTCGTTTTCCAGACACTTTTGTTGAAATGTGCTCCCCCCCCTCATTCTCTAGTTTTTTTCTCCGACTCAACCTTCTTTTCTGAACATACAGCTTTCCGATAAACCGGAAGCAGTTTGTGATATAATATGTCTGACGAAATTGTTTTTAATAAACATTTTTTTAATAAAGCATTTTAAATGCCACAATAAACACATTTAATTAATTTTAATGCCAATTAAGGCCTTAATTTAAAAAAAATAACAATTTACGGTAATAACTTTTAATGACCCGCGGAGACCCTGTAATTTAAAAATAAATATAATTTTTTAGCTTTGTTTCTCTTGAAAATCTGAGAGGCTTCAATAATATTAAGTAAACTAATATGCAAACATTTGATGAAAAAGTAGTCTAATTCTCAGAGTAGATGTAAAGTAGATTATTAATTGAAGCAGCATCCTGCCAGTTTTGACCCAAATGTCGTTTTAGTTTGATATATTTGATTACTTTTCAGGTCAATATGAAGCACTGGATGCTTCATCTCCAAACGTTGCCTATTTAACTTGAAGGGTTGGTCACTGAATGAGTCATGTGACCAAAGTTCCCCTTAAAAGGTGTTGTTGACAGTTACCTTAGACATATTCTGGGTTCTATGATGAAGGATTTAATTTGGAGAGGTCAATGTATCCTTTAACATGGCAAGCCGGATTGATTATGTTTAGCACTCTAGTTTAATTCTACACATTATTAAAGAAGGACTCCTCCACTCAAATCTGTGGCGTCAAGTTTCAGTTTCTGTCAAGGCTTTGCTGTCCATCTTTGATAGATGAAGTTATAATAAAGACCAGGCCAACAGAGGGTATATGAGGGCAATTAAGAGGTTGCAGCATTTCGAATTTGACCAATGGGACTAACAGGAGCGTCTACGGCTACTCCAATGCAGCGGTGCAGATAAATAGATGAATAAAAATAAAATTGAGGAAAAAAAACCCACAAAGATCAGCGTATGCGAGCATTTTAAAAGATTCTGCAACGTCAGGCGTATGCTGGCTAAATAGTCAAGGTGTGACAGGGGCTTCAGGCAAATGGCCTGGTACCTGGTAGAGCTCTTCAGAGTCTCCTGACTTAAAAAGGCGCTATATAAACCCAGACCATTTATTCTATGTTGTCTACCAGTCAGTCAAAGTAATAATGACAGTTCATGACATAAAAATGCTCAGAAGTAAATAAGATTTCCTCAGCCATCTGCCTTACCATCCCGGGTGGTGACGCTGGAGTCTGTCTGGCTTTGGTTCAGCTGACTGAGACAGGAAGCACTGCGGCTGCAGGGGATGGTAGCCCTGCTCCAGCGGCTCTGCTCCTGCCACAAGGTGGCGCGGCTCATTGGGATCTGCTCGGCGTCTGCAATGCTGCTGGGAAGGCATGGTATACTGCCTCCACTGCTGGTCACGGTTACCTTGGCAGGCCCTGGCTCCTGGGTAACGGGGCAAGTCGGGGGGGAGGGACGGTGGTAGAAAGGGAGAGAGTGGGAGGTAAGGTCACAGATAGACTACAAAAGGAGAGTAAAAAAAATAAAAACAGAAAAAGAAGGAATTTTTTGTTACTGATCTACATTCCTTGCAGAGCTTGCAGATAGTTTCACTAATTTTCAGATTTTTGTTTTTCCAAGTGTACTGAATTAAAATGGTGACAAAGGAAAAAGAAAGCAGCTGTGGGAGGACAAAGTGATGAAAAGAGAAAAACGATCAACACCTGACAAACAACAAAGACTTTATTCATGGCCCAGGCACCTGAGAAATACAAGAGACATGTTGCAGGGATATTATACAAAAACAGCATTTTCAATCTTCCCGCTAGTGATCAACATAATTATTGTTATAAGAAAAAGCTTAATTTTTAAAGCAAAGCAAATTCAAATACCAATTTTCTTAATCAGTCAATCAAATCACCATAAATAAATAATTTTGTACTAAACATTCCTGAGCCGGTATCAGAAGCAAAGACGATCAAACTCCCTCCTCACCTGGATGGGATTCTATTCATTATGATTTACAGAAAGCTTTGATTCGAAGCAGCTGATTTTAAAGTATTTTGGCCAAACTCAACTCACTGAGTGTCCATTCATGTCTTCAGGGGAAAAACACTGGCTCTGAGTTACTCCATCCTGCCAATCAAAGAATCCTTTGATGTTAGCGCTGATGCTAATAGCCAAAAAAAAAAATAAATAAATCCTCTTACTTATTTGATTCATTCATGAAACCTGCAGAGAAACTTTGAGGAGGGGCAAAAGGTTTAAACCTCTCGCTGAAAACGAAATGGATCAATTTCAATCAAAGTAGACAACCAAATTATTTCCAACAGCTTTGAAGCACATGTCGCTGCTGATGTATGTAAACATGGGAGGAGGGTGCTGAAGTGGGATAGTGGTGTTGACACTTAAAGGTGTGGAAAATACAAAGATAAATATCCATCAGCGACAATCTGTCAAGCTGTTATCACATGGGTCGACATGACGATGATAGAAACTGACCTCAGACAAGCAGTGAAACCCTGATCATACTTACACATTGTTAACCCTAATTATAGAGCTTGGCCTCGGCCAATGGAAAGCCTGTGTAGCAGAGCTTATTATACGTCCAAAAACAATCAATGTTTCAACGTCAGTCAAGTTCATATTAGGGCTGGAACGTTTAATCGTTTATTAAAATAATTGTCAACTAATTCTGTAATCAATGAATCAGTAAATGGAGTACAGAGGCTCTAAAACATGTTTTTAGCTGACAGAACAACCCACCTTGAGCAACAATTATACCAAAAAGTATGTCAACATTTTGCATCTAAGATAAAATCTTTTATTTCTGTCAATACGTTCTATCCAGAACTCCTCAAATAGAAAAGTTTTAGTTCCACCTGGTTTAATTCTGCATAAAGTCTTCTTTGTAAAACCTTTTGCTACTCGATTATTAACAGATTAATTGAAAAGAAAATTCACAGATTAATCGATTTGTAAAATAATCGTTAGTTGCAGCCCTCGTTCATGTAAAGATTTGAAGTTCAAATATTGAATCATTTCAACAGCAGAAACATCTTAGCTTTGCTAACACTAAGAAAATGTGTCTTGTTATAATGTTGCAAAGTGACACATTGTATTAAATCTTTTCTAAGAGGAAAAATACAGCTAATGAAAAGCTGGACTTTAACAGAACATCAGTCATTTCTCACTCTAACATTTATCCAGGACCGTGCTTTGGGGATTCTGTCTGGTTTGCATGACAGTGAAGCAAATATGAGATTTTATGAGCTAAATGAAGACAGTTTCAGCACATTTACTTTTGATTACCAGAAGGGGGCAGGAGAGGAACAACAAAAGGGAGAATTTCAAAGGAAAAAAAACAAGAGTAAAGTCTCTGTTAACTAATATGCAATGTTCAGAGGAGAGGGTACGGGGTTCATCTAAAGCTCCTTTCGTGCCGCCTGTACATGCATGCCCTCCCAAACAACACCTAAATTAAACTGATGGTTTGCTACCAGGTGTCTGCAGATCTGAATGATTCAGGTATTAAAAATCAGGTAGTGAAAGCAAAAAAAAATACCAGCAGACAAAGCAATTATGAATAATAATCTGATCCATATACAGAAGTAAAACAAACATTAAATCAGATCATATTTTTTTTGAATAGCTGATCTTAAAAACTCTGCCCTATTTTTCTACTTATCATTAAGCTATATCTGAAACCGTAAGGGAGTTAACAGATTTATTTTCACTGAAACAAATGTCCAAAAAAAATGGGTAAAAGTTTTCTAACAATAGATAGATGCAAAATGATGTGTGGATGCAGAAGGCAGAGCTTTGATTTTCTGCACAGGAAGGAATTGTGTTGAATGATGGAGGTCAGATAGGACCGAGTCAGCGCCGTCACCCCCGTTTCCCCTAAATTGACCTTTTTGTGTAAACAAAACAAGGTCACAGACTCATTCAAGGCGCCGTCATTAGAGCAACCAGACAACGAACTTTAGACAACTCTCTCTGCCCTAACCGCAGTTTTGGCCTTGCTTCAAAAAAGGAGAAAAAGAAGGGTGGCGAGACCGGTGGACTTTCTCTCCAAGTGGGTGGTCTGAATTATATCCCTGTATCATATGCTTATATTTAACATGGAAAACATTTTATGTAATGGAATCTTATGAAGTGCTGTGTGCTTCTTACAAGGGGAAAATCCAGCTGCAGCACATGTGAGCCTTCACCAAAATTAGGATCAGATTTAATTCCTTATGCCTGAATAAAAAAAACAACCATCAGACCAGAAGATGATGCATGCCAAGGTTTTATACAGTTGGCTCCTTCAGGGCAAGAGGCCAACAGCAGGACTTACAGATCCCTTTTGGCCAGACAGAGCTAAGTTTAGCACAGCTCATTGGAACGCCTCAGGTGGAGTTTACCTGTGACTTCAGACGGATCAGGTGCTGAAGAACATTCAGTAGTTAAACACCTCATCCCGTTTCTTCAGTCTTTAAAGCATCTAAGTGCATCAAATTCTTTAAACTGTCAGTTTTTTAAATTCTGTCTGATGTAAATTGTTTAAATTTTTAAATAGTCTTTATGGATGTTATTCATGCAGCTTTAGTGTTAAGGCTGGACGGCCTCCTTTTAATCTTTAAATCTTCAATAGTTTCTCTCAGTTTCCGGTCTAGATCCAGTGAGGATTTCTCAAAAATATAAAGATTACATCCAATTAGAAAAAATCATCTTTGTAAAATAAAGACATTACTGTAAAGCTGGATTTGTGAATAATTCTTGGGCTTGACTGCATCCTGTATGAAATGGTTTCACTGAGATTTACCTTTCAATGCAGCAACATGTACATCCATTGTGTAGATGTTTTTATTCTGCTGTGATCTTTAAGCTTACAGCACTAGCTTCCACCAGGCTAATGGTGTAACAGCTGCTTTATGACATTTTATCCAAGCCTTTAACGACCCACTCAACTGTCAGCAACCTGACTTTGCAGATATTATTAATAGATGCACACTCCTCATATTGCTTTATCTTTCTTAATTCCTCAACACTGTTTGGCAGAAATCTAAACAAACATCAACTTTGCTGGATCTTCTCAGCAGCATTGTTGAGCTTCACTGACCCAACAGCAAAGTTTGCCATCTATTGGTTACAAACATGTAGCATTTAGCCATCAAGGGCAAAATGGGAAGACCTCTGTTTGTTTGAGGCTGTGGTAAAAGCATCCAAATTTACCGACTTGCAATCATTTGTTGGACACTCCTGAGAGCTGTTAAAGAGCAAAAAGTAATTTATGTTCAAAGACCAAAGTGGTGAGAATGGTCTTCAATAGAACTTGGTTCACATTAAAAATAAAAACCATCCATAAATGTATTTCCTGGATATTCAAAATTCAAAACATTTCAATACCTCTAAATGTAGCATGTCCAATTTGCTTTAAATCCTGTTTTATAAAGATAAGGAACCCAAATTAAGAAAGTCTATAATGTTAACACGGTTATCCGGGAAAAATTAAAGAACGTCTTTATTTTGGATGAAAATAGGTGGTTTGGGATAAAAGGAAAGAAAAACTACAAATTTAACCACGGTGCTAATGATAATACAACAATAAACAGAGAAAAATTTCTACGGCTACGTTCACACTGCAAGCCTTGATGCTCACATCCAGTAATTTTGTGAAATCCAATTTTTTTGCGTTGCCGTTCACATTTCCAAAGAAATTTGACTTGTATGTGATCTCCTGTGTGAACTGCAGTCATACAACGCAGGTGTCCCACACGCACAGTAGAGGACGTAATGACATCACAGGCCCTGTGTGCACTGTGTTTACCAGAGCACATCTAGCGACCTTTCCCAACCATAAAAACTCAATCTTTTAAAGATTGTCAAATACTAACTAAATATAAATATTGTTCTCCGCATCATCGTCTGCCATGGTTGTTGTTTTTCTTGCCGCTTCTTCATAGCAAGACCCAGAATAGTGACCTTTGTTGGGTATTAATGGTGTTCAGGTCGGATGAAAGCGACCTGGCCGTTCACACACAGGTCGTATTTAAAAAGATCAGATTCATATTGGATTCAGGACCACATAGCCAAGTGGCCTGGGTCGCATTGGAAAAAAACAGATCTGTGTTGTTCAGACAGCCATGAAAAGAGCAGATACAGGTCGCATATGGGCCAAAAAAAAAATTGGTTTTGGGTCACTTCAGGCTGCAGTGAGAATGTAGCCATAGAGACTAGCTTAATGGAGAAGAATCTCAGATTTTTCTAAAAGAACTAATGATAAGAATTTTCAAGAATTGTTGTTTGAATTAACATCTTATATTAAAAAAATCACTGACACCACTTAAAAATACTCTACAATATAATTTACTAAACTTCTAAAACATTGAAGTGTAGTGATATTCCCCACAGCCCAGGAGGTTTAGGTAACAGAACAAAGGGGGTTAAAATAAAAAGACCTTTATCTGAATTCAACAGCTCAGTTTTTTCCCTTGGGTTCAAATGTGAGTGAATAAAAGCAGCTGTGAGTCAGTACTGTACCTGCTGAGTAGGAGGATCAACTTTGCGCTTTTTCTTCTGGTTCTGCTTGTTGGTCCTAGGATAGACAGTCAGAGCCTCCTGCCACCTACACAGAACAAAAAACGGCTTTAACCCTCTGAAGAACAGGCCATTAGGGCTGAATCCCTACATGGAAATACTAATGCATCGTCTCATTTATTAGGTAAGTAATAATTTAAAAACTGAATTCTTAGGTGTAAAAAAAGAAAGTAGAAATTAAAAGAATTTCACTAAGATTTTGGGTGAAAATACCCCAAAACATTTCTAATCAGTTGAATCAAGTTTTTAATAGCAAATTTTAAACAAAACATAAGAAAACTTTAGTTTGCAGCAAGTCGGACTGCCATGTTATAAATAACATTAAATTGAATAACCTTAAATTAGAACTTTAAGCTATGGAGCGGTTCAAGAAGAATGAAAATGGTCTAACTGTTAAAAAAAAACAATACAATTCATGAACATCTGAAGTAGAGATTGACTGATACAAGCTTTTTAAAGCCAATGCTAATACAGATTATTTTAACATCACTTAAACTGTTCCCTGATACATGCTGGGTTTTTTTAAATCTTGTTTTAATCTGCTTTTTCTTTTTCCATTTAGATGATTAAAAAATTTCACAATAATAACAAATGTTGCAAATTTCAACAAATAAAGAAACATTAATTTCAAATTAAAGAAAACATTAACAATGGATGGAAATGGAGGGAATGCAATTCATTTCATTCAGTCTCAGAGGACCTCTAAGAACTGCTGCTAATTGCACCAACAAATCCAGAAATGCGCAGATTTCAAACATACCAACACAAGAAGGAAATCTGCTCATCTCTAATTTAATGAGATCCCTCCCAACAAGCTACTGACGAGCTGAACTTTAAACTGCAGAGAAGTTAAAGTTGTTCGTATGCTAGATATTCTTCACAGAATTCGTTTTTTTGGAGGTACTTAGACAAACATTTAATCATAAAACCCATGCTTGGGTATTTTAACGTGCGTCTGACCAAATCAATTTTACTTCATTTTTAGATAGGAAATAATATTAACTTAAATCAAATTTAAACAAAACTCAGAAATCAAACATTTAGATAGTTATACATAATTGCTGGCACAGACATGGGGAAGTTTTCATGACTATTTTAAGAACAGTGTTTTATAAATGCATCCTTTTTTCTTCGAAAACTGAACTTATGCTCATTTTTTTAATCATAAAGGTGCCTTTTATTATGTTATATGCAATAACCCAGATTTTCTTTGTAAAACAGAAATAACCATAATGCATTTATGGGGGAAAATTATTTTTTATCAAAACTTGGTCAAAAAATGTACATTAATATGCTGTTACTGTACCATTAACACGCAAAATAAAGACCAGTTTAAGATTTTAACTGATTTTTTTGTTTTGTTTCATGTATGATCCGTGTAGTAGATGAATTTTAGCTAACGGAAACTTTAAAGACATCTACCACTGTCCTAAGAAACCGCCCCACTAATTTATTGTTGCTCTTTTTCTATCTTAGCATTGATTTTTTTAAATATTTTTTAAATTACATCGTATGATGATGCTTAACTGGGTTTAACTGCGTTCAGAGCAATAATGAGCTTGAAGAGCATGAATCATTTAAGTGATCCGCTCTAATAACCGCCTATATTCAAGATTAGACTGCCACACTTATAATGGGTAATATGATGAAATAGTTATTAGAAAACAGGTTAAAACTAATCTTTAACAAAGAAGTCTAATAAAATTTCATTACTTAAACTGAAGAACAACAAGAGCAACTTTTTCCCCACTTAGGAAATTTGATAAACAATCTATTATTGAGCTCTGATCAAGATTCATATCAAAGAATTAAAAGCTTTCTTTACTTAAATAGTTAAAAACAAAAAAACAAAAACAGCAGAAAGAACAAACACACCAGTGGCAACGATGATTGATGCACCGAATGATCAAAACAAATATTACAGGAGACCATATTTAAAGAAAAATCCATATTTCCACCATCAGTGATGGACAGTCCAGCATGGAAGGACAGTGCTGTGCGAAAGCCGCAAAACACCACATGAAAGCCAGATGATGGGGGAGTGGGAGGCGTTTAGTGATGAAGCAAGTAACAGAATGAAGAGTGGGTGTTTTGAGTCACACTTGTTCCAGAATAGCTGCACAATGTGCTCTACAGCCACTGAAAAAGCAGCTCAGAGGAATTCCTAGTAAAGAAGAAGAGGTGAATGAATGGTGGACATTATTGTTTGTGTGCAGAGCCCTCAGTCCTGAACTTTAAGGGTTAGTGAACTCGGGGAGAGTAAAGGTGCAAGAATTTGCACCGTCACTGCATGGTGAATTACAGCTCTACTAAAAATCACAGAGAGAACCAGACAGCAGAGGGCAGCACAGCTTCAGCTACACTGTGGTGCCAACCGTCTTCATCTCTGACTCTCAAACAATCATGTCTTAAATTACAGACAGAAGAGCAAAGTGATACCAGTCTACAACGGCTGCTCTGGTAGTGGATAAGGTTCTTACCCATTGATGATTTCTTTGCACTCGGCCCGAATGAAGTGGTCTTTTTCAGGGGTGAGGATGCACAGAGAGTTCTTCTGACCTGTCCTGGACTCGCCATCAACGACATCCAGGCACTGGTTCATGTTGATTGTACCCTGGGGTAGAGTGCTGGGCTGCAGAATCAGAGCAGAGACATGAAGGGAAAGTGTTAGGTGAGGAGGGGGACAGACGGGTCCACAAGCCCCTCCGCATGGCGCGTCTGTTCACAAAATCCCTGCCAAGCTTTGCAAACTACACACTGATGTAATAGAGTGTGCACAGGGGATTGCTCTAGCTGGAGGTTGCTTTGATATGTTCCAATGCTGAAAGTGAACAGATTACATAAACTAATAATGTGCAGCTATTTGTGAGAGCTTGATTTAAATGGAGCTAAACCAAATAGATTTCCTTTTACACTGAACCTTTCAAGATGGGTTCAGTTTAGGGCTGAAACAGTCAAATATTTTAATTGTGATTAATCGATTATTGAAATAATCAACAACAATCTATCAACTAATCTTTAAATGGAGTATAGAACATTTTGCAGTTAAGATCATTGGTCAATATGCTCTATCCAGAAGTGCTCAAGTGGAAAGCTTTAATTTTACCCAGTTTAATTAGTTTAGTAAAAAATCTTCTTTAAGGAACCTTTTGCTATCCGATTATTAATCGATTAATCTAAATTATATCCAACAGATTAATCAACTTGCAAAATAATCATTAGTTGCAGCCCTAGTTCAATTCTTCCCAAACTAAAGAGTATAAACCTGTTGTTTTAGAGTAAATGTTTTAAAGAAATTTAGTTTATTAAGGCAATCAATTCAAAACAACTTTACAAGCGAAGAGGTTAAAATATATATTTCGGATTGGTTTAAAAAAAAAAAAAAAACTCCATTAAAAATCTAGAAATAAGCTCATATTGATTGTAGGATATTGAACATTACTCCTTCTTCCTTTAAACCAGCACCAACTTAAAAAGTGTAAATGAAACAAGAAAACTAAAGGGTTACTTAAAAATATATACTTTTTTAACACTTATCTAGCTTAAGTTTTTTTTTTTTTTTACTAAGGAAGAGCATTGCATATAAAATTGATATCAGCCACATAAAGTCGAATGTAATATGAGCAGAACTGAAACACGATGGATGGGATTTGGTGCAGAGGATTGGAATGAAAGACCAACTCTGCCTCTATAAGTCAGCCTAAAGATTTAAACTACAGACCACAAGACTCTTTAAAATCTTTCCCACCTTGATGCTGGGATAAACTCCCAGTTTAGTTTTAATCTTATTGGTTTAAACTGTATTCAGCACAATGAAAGGCACAATAAACATGCTTGGTTCATCCTCACATTACATTGTAGTTGTAACATATATGGATGCATGACCCAGATACCATTAAGAAAGTGTGTCACCATTTTGAACAAAGGCTTTAGTCGGGTGGTCATATTAAAGTAGTGGTTAGAAGAACAGACCAGGTGACCTCCCAGTCAGTCATAACCTCCTGACCACAGATACAACTAAAGTTCCACCAGGAGCCCTAAAGTATGATACAATATAGTTTCTTGTAAATGTGTAGATTTATACAGCATTCAGATCAAATTTCTACCATTTAGCTTGTAGTAAAGAAGAGACGTTGCCAGATAAATGAAAGACTTTATAAAAAAAGTGTAATCATTGTTTTTCTCCAATAGTTAATATATTCTTATTTATATCATGGACAGTTACAGGAAAATTTCATAAAAGCAGGAAACAAAAGATTAAGATTTTATGAATTATAAACAGGACAAGTTGATATTTTATATAAACAACCACCATGTTAAACATGCGCTCTGTGTTTGGTGACTTAAGGGTTAATATGTAGGGCTAACTTAATCTATAGAGACTCTAAATGCAACAATGGCTTAGGTTCCAATTTAGGGTTGGAACAACTGGATTAATTAATCGAACGAAATAATCATCAACTAATGTATTAATCGATTAATCGTTAACTGGAGTATAGAGACTCTAAAAACATTTAGCTGACAGAAAACCCCACTTAGAGAAGTAGTTATATCAAAATTGTAAAAATATATCAACATTTTGCAATTAATATATAAAAAAAGTTTTTGTCTGGCAGTATTTTCTATCCAGAACTCCTGAAGTGGAAACACTTTATTTTCCCTGGTTTCATTTCATAAAAAAATCTTCTTTAAGGAACCTTTGGCTATCCGATTATCAATCAATGAATTAATCAAAAAATATAGCCAGATTAATCGATTTGCAAAATAATCGTTAGTTGCAGCCCTATTCCAATTTATAAAAATGTCTAACATAAGCTTACAAACTGTTCTAAAACTGTGTTTACATCAAAACCTTTAAACAAATGTCTGTTTACCAAATTATTTCAACCACTGGAGTCGATCGGGAATAAATTGTCCATCACTGCAGATGAAAGTTTCGGATCATCAACCCAGTCCATCCATTTATCTCATCAATTTAATTAAGGTTAATTTTTGTTGTAGAAGAAATGCAGGTTTAGCCTTTTCAAACAAAGAACCGTGATGGGTTTCGTTTGACTCTGAAAACAATCTGTGAATTTCTTTATGAACGTCCAGCTGTTTGCATGCTGCCTTTCCTCCTTAACCTCTAACCGTGTCCTGAATTAGTTTTACTTTCACGCTACACCCTTTCCTCGCTTATCTTAATGCCAAGAATGTTCTAATGAAAATGCCAAAGAATTTACAAAATAAAAAGCAGAAATGATCTATTAAACGTACAATTATTTAGCCAGCAGGATAAAGTTTACACCAGTGGATGCTCACACCAGACACAGACGACGCTGTCTGAAATGTTAAAGGTCAACATCTTCCATCATATTGAGATGCCAGAAAAGGATCCAGAGTGACACGAGTTTTCTCAACTTTAATACATCATGCAGTAACTTGGTTACCCCTCTTCTCCAAACTGTTGTGCACTGCCGTTCAGCTGGCTGAAAGAAAGCCACTAACTAAATTCAGCAGTGGCACTCCTCATTGCCATTATTAAAGTGGAAGAGTTTAAGGATAAGGATTCAGTCTGAATAACTGAGCTGTTTGACAAACTAATTAAGCTCCTAATGTAATAATAAGCTCAATATACAACCAATTATATACTATAAAGAGCAAAATTGGACAAAAATTGTGGACATCAGAGAAATTAACTTGAATACTTGCACAAAATATAGCAGATGGATTGTTATTTTGCTTAGGTTTATATTAATATGATCAGGAATGTTAAGTTTGTCATATGAAATATTATTTAACAAATACTCAATTAATGAATTCTCTTTGCAGCAGCAGGATACACTGAAGCTCCTACCCTACCTACACCAAGGAGGTTATGTTTTTAGGAGAGTTTGTGTGCCTGTGTAAAGGATTACTTGAAAAGATATGGATGGATTCTAAAGACATTTTTTACCGGTGGGGTTCCCCATGCCAAGGAACAATTCATTTAAATTTGGTAATGATTCAGATCACCTTAGAGTTTGGCTATAAGTGTATACATCACAATTTGGGGTTAAAATTGCTGCTTGGCGGAGGTCTGCGCTCTCCAAGTGCTTTTCTAGTGTTTTATATAAAATCACCACATTCTATTGTACATTTTGTTGAATTATCATCTGTGGACTCTTTGGAATTTCTATTCAAGGTTGTCTGAACAGTGAGAACCTGTGACTTACTTGCTTGACCTCTAAATGACTTAGGGAAACATTGTAAAGAGTCTGAATAATCCCGTGTTGACTGGAGGATTTATGTTTGTACAATGAGGTAAATGGGGCCTGTGTAACAAAGTGTACTGGGAATGACTATCGCTTTGAATGGGCTTAAGGTCCTGCATTGACAAAAATAAACTTGTAGACACAACATGCCTATAAAATACCAAAAAGTGCTTTTAGCTTTTTGATAAATTAGAGCCTCAAGTTAAATGGCATTTATTATGAGACGCAACAGAGGCAAAATTAAAAGGTTTGTTGGTGACCATGTATAACCATAGCCTGTCAACAACAAAGCAACTTAAGCCAGTGGATATGCCTCTAATGTGGGGAGAAGTTGATAGTTTGTGTTAATCATACCCTGAGGCGAGATAAAAGGTTCTGCTTGAGTTGCTGCTGTTGGGTGTCACTTCCATTCACATCCACTTTACAGCTGTTCATATTGTAATAGAAAGTAGTGACTTGAATTTAAATAGAGCAGCCTGCAACAAGGTCTAAAAAACATGACAATGTTAGAACTTTAAGGAAGTATACTAAGAATATGCTAAGTGTCAGGCTATTGCAAACCTGCACCTGTTTTCTGCAGATGAAATGTAAAGGAACACCCAGGATATCGCTGCATAAACTGGAGAAAGCCTTGGCCTGATTGACACTCTGCTTGGAATGAAGCACGGACAGAAGAACTGCATGAAAGCAATAACAGGGAGAAGTCAAGAGTGTTGAGGTGATAGTCGTGAATAACAACAGCACTAAATGGCAGGAAAAAGTGCTGTGTGTGAAAAGGACGGGGGTTTAGAGGGGGAAGACTGAGTTTGGATCGGCCAGCCATCTGTCTGAGTAAACTAATCTACACTCCACATGTTGGCTTTTCAAAAAAGGATAAAGAGCAAGATATTTAAAATCCAGAAAATCTTATTATGGTTATTCAAGCAGCTTAAACTTCACGATTTATAACCGTTACTTCACTAAGGCACAAAGAAAGAGATGAAATACTGATAATAAACATGATAATAAATGTTTTTAAATATCTGCACCTCTGACTGGGATTCGAAGTTTGTCATTTCTAAGAATGAAAACATGGCTCAGCCCCTAAACCCAGGCCCCCTGAATCCACACCTCTCTGTCACCTACCCAGACCCTGTCCGTACTCTACTGGCCATTGCTCTCCACAATGGCTCCTTTGTTGATTGGCACCAGTTCACACAATGTGGGATTGTCAGTGGCCGCAGTCCCACAGAGCCACTCCTCCTGTAAACCCTCTACAAGGAAATATTTAATAGACAAGAGAACCTGAACAACCATCCCTTTGTGATCCAATGACAGAAACTATAAAGGCAGAATAAACTCTGTCTGGACTCTGAAGATGGTCACACAATGGTGTGATATATAGTTTCAACAGGAGTCA